GAACCTTAGGAGAAGACTTTCCTTCACCCCATATCTCTGCAGGGTCTGTGGATTGCTCCTTGAGAATATTGGCTCATATTGCCGGAGTGACGACAGGACTCGCCTTACGTAAATGTTCATCGTTGTTTTGACTCGGATTCGGGGGATACGGAGGCAAGCGTTATCTGCCGGGGTTCACTTGTATCCAGAGCCTTTATTTCGTGTATTTTCGTGTATTTTCGTGTTTCTTAAGGAATCTAACAATAAAATTTTAATATTCTTACTTATAAGTAATTATATTTTTTGTTAATATACTCAAGCTTTTAGGTTAAAGATTCTAGTTCATGTGAAATAATTTTACATTTGTATTTCATAATACCGGTTTAAGGATTCTTTTATTACATAATTTTGAATAGTTAGAAGACTTTGTCAGTTCTAGGTTTAACGTTCATTATCTGTAGTGGCTTATCTATAATTATAATAAAATTGGAGATTTTGGAATTCCTAAAAGATAGTTTTACTTCGTATTGCTAATCAGAGTTACTTCTCATTGCTAATTATATTTTACAAACAATAAAAAAGGGAAGCGATATAAAGATGTTTTATTATCTCTATATGAGACACTTAAAACTAGTTACTATATGAATGGCACACTAGTTGATTTACGTCATACCTTACGTAAAGCCGTAATATATTCGTGGCTTGTCAATGTTTGTGTTTTTTACTGTTCCATTCTCTCTCTCTCTCTCTCTCTCTCTCTCTCTCTCTCTCTCTCTCTCTCTCTCTCTCTCTCTCTCTCTCTCTCTCTCTCTCTCTCTCTCGCCACTCACTTCTTTCAGGTGCGACACATTAAACCTGCAATGCACTGCAACATTACAAGTCAAGGTGTATCACTGTAGAATGGTTTGTTTTTATCAATGCTGACTGTAATTTGATCTGAAGGTTTTGTGCATATTTTAGTAAAATGGGTAATGAAATGCAAAAGCATTTGATTTCAATTTAGCAGCCATCCACTTAGTGTTCCTCCTAATCAAGATTATAAAGCTTCATGCATGGACCGCTATTTGTCTACCACACCAGATCGACTTTTTTATTTAACTTTTTATCATTATCATTATTTTTATTAGTGGGGGCATTACAGGATTTTGTATCGTGGACGCTTCCACCAGATTCAGTGTTGATGACGATTTTTTTGTTACGTTCTAAAGGATCTGAAGAAAGGTATTTTGTACAACAATCTGAATTAAGGGTATAATGGAAATTAGGTATTCCATCACGGTAGCATGTCATTGTCTTTTCACAACGCATGAATGTTTCAGTCACATCAAGACCACTGTTTTCTCTGACCCACCACACGTATTCGATGCGACTTTTTTTTTTTCTCCAAGAAGTTAAAGATATGCCCTTTTGACGCAAGAGAGACCAATTGACACGCTTAAAGCATTGGACTTATACGAAGAAAACACATACAGTATGGTTAAATATAAGAGTTACGTTTTTTTCTTTTTATTATTTACACTCCATTGCCTTGTCAGTCTGCCACGCATTACCTTGCGAATTCCAGCTCTGCTCTGGATGAATTGGCGTCAAGTCACTACTTATGATTCAGAGTGAATTTAAAAGTGCGAGGAAGAGTCGTCGTACATATCTCTTCCGAGGGAAAATAACTTCACGGTCCTTCCTGGGGAGTTGAAGAGGTCCTCTTATAGGTAATGCAAACCGCTTAAGAATAGAAATGACCTCGGCACAGCTCAAACAAGGCTTCTAACTTTTCAACTTCAAGTTTATTTGGAGACAGAAATATGGCTTTCACTACCTTCACCTGTAGCTTACAGAATGGCCCGACAAGGGATGTCATACCTCCAGGCCATGCCAGTCAACAAACTGAAGGTCTAAGTGCCGTTAGAATATACCGTCGCAAAACTGTTATTATCAGGTAAATAATCCCTATTATACATCACCGTCAAATTTGATTATTTTAAATTTTATTTTAGAGAGCAACACATTTCTTACGCATTGTTCTTCTCAATCATCAGTAAACAGCGCTTCAGATTCTAGGGGTGTATGTCAAAGTTTCTGGCACGTTGCACATCGGCCGTTCGTTCCTCCTCGCTGGACCTCGCCTTTGGCTCCAGTGTAAATCAGGAATCCATCTTTCGCTAATTTACTTTAGGTCTTTAAAGCTAGATCTGGACAGCGCGTAGGTGTAGGTTTAGTTTCCGTTTCTTAAAAAGTCTGCGGCTGATGATGGTTTATACCATTGGCTATTACTACGCGATATTTCCAAAATGGTGTTTAGCCGTTCTTCCGTAGCCCATTGTTTATCGTGTTGTTTTAACTAGTTCACCTATTTTCCAGTTCTATATACTTTTGGTGTTCCGATTAGCATTCCTTCATGTAGGGGATGTTAGGGTAGAAGGTAATCAAAACATTCACCTCGATCAGAAAACGTTAATTAGCTTTATCACTCCACTCTGTCTTTGGCGATGGCCTGATGTCTCTACCTAATCAGTAAGAATAAAGGCCTTTTCCACCCCTCGATATGACCGGTGTCGCCCATTAACACTGGAATTATTATAAAATTATCATGGGGTTAGATCTACCATTATGAGATCACAGGAATTATTAAAGATAGTTATGTACCCATTGTCGTTATCAAGAATACATGCTTTCGTATGGAAACGCGAAACTACCCAGTGCACTAAGAATAATCAGCATTATACACTGTGGCACTGTGTGCATAAAATTATCATAATGATTTTGTCAATTAAAGAAAATATATTTTGTATTGCAATTATGACTTGCGTTTATTTAAAATACCTTTTCCACTGTGCGGTTAGTCACAGACAGACGTATAAAATTAATTTGGCAGGATAGAATGGTACCAAAATAAAAGATATAAGGTTGCATGTAGATGTCATTTTACTGTTAAAAGCCATTTTTTTATCACAAAAGTTACACCTGAAATAGTCACCTTCGACTTACAAAGAGTATTAAATGCATTACCAGGTCACAGTATTTAGGCTTAATCAACCTGTGTAAACATATGAGGCATACGACCTAAAATTTAGTAACTGTTCAGTCTTAGGCACACAACTCGAATAACAAGAGTCACATCATATTAGCACAGTCCATTGCCACAATCAGGGGCAAAGACTGAAAGTACTGCCTCTAATGACCTTTCGCTCATGAAGCACGCTTTCTTCTCTTCATTTTCTTCCCAAGGTTTAGCTTTATCTTTCCTTTGTTTCTCTTCAGCTTCTTGATTCTCTCTAAGGACTGTAGAAAAAAAAACAACATTAGTATTAGATTTGTGGACTGTACGCAGTAATTTGCATGTTGTGATGTATATTTCTTATCTGTAATACGTATGTGTGTGTTGAGTGGAGGAAGTGGGCACCTTATAAGTTACACAGGACTGCATGTCATCTAATATTCCATAAGAAATATATTAGTAGCGCGCGTTGTAACAGCGTCTGAAAACACTATTATCCTCAAACATTCAAATTGCGAACTATACTCAGATCATGGCTACCTTGCATTCGTCACTAATAACTTATACTTACCGTGCTAAAGCGTTTCTTTGTGTCAATGAAATTACATAATAGCTACAGAATTCCACAGAGGAAATGAGGAGTCTAAGTGAAATAATTTATCTATTTTCTACTGAACGAAAAGAAACCCTTAACCTGTTGCACATCGCAGACGAATTATTTTGAAATAAGTCTTAGGTCTATTTTTTTTTTTTTTTTTTTAATCTTATCTGATTCTGTTTCGGGTCAACTGAAAATTAAAACATCTTTTTCAAGTAGTTAAGCAATGGTTAATGATTAATGGTTAGTCGAAATAAATATGCTAGACATCAAAGGTCATATTGCACTTTGGAAAAGTCCTGGGTCGAAAAGGGTGAACATGAGTTAACGATTAGGATATGATGTTAGTTGTAGGATAGAATGGTAGTAAAAGGAGAAGGGATTAAAAGTATAGGAAGTGGAAGCGACTGGAGTATCTGGATTTAGTCTGGAAAATGAAGTGGATTGGGGGGTAGAGGGAATAGAGATAGGATGGTTCCGGGTTCAGGGAAGAAATGCTGACACTTCTTGAGAAGATGGGAGGGGAGCGGAGCGAAGTTCAGTTTCAGAATACGTAGAGAGAGAAAAACCTAGTCGACGTGGTTTGAATCTGAGAACTGCTACTTCAATTCGAGCTTGTAGGCAGGGCAGCTCCTTTAAAATACATTATGAGAGCCACCACAACTGATACACATGCGTGACTGAGCAGAGCAAAGGGTATGGCCAGGCTGAGCACATAGAGGGCAGCAGGCTGAGTGGCCAAAACGCCAACATTTCTGACATTGATGGGGAAGGGGTCGATATGGTCGGGGAGGGTGGACACTCCACCAATAAAAACTTCATGGGGGAGGTCATGTCTACGGAAGGTAATCTTGGCAATATTGGTGTAAGACTTACGTGTGAGGAATATTGTAGCACTGGACTGCTACTGCATCATAGTCGACAAGGCATGCGAGCAAGTCGTTCTCAGTCTTACCAATCCTTGTTGTAGATAAGACAGTCAGTCGGGGAGACGGAAGCAGTTCCGGTACATGCATAAGGGAATAGGTTCGCCAGTGAGGTCAGTCAGGGTAGATAGTGCACGAGCTTAGGACTCAGATGTAACTATGACAAGGCATGAAGGAACTGCGCTAGGAAACACTGTCAGAAAGGAGACATTGTTGGAAGAGAAGGGTATTGTCAGAGTATTGGGCTGTGTGTGGCTAAGTCACAAAAGGTACTCAAAAGGTTTGGAGAGGTGGAAACAGTAGAAGGACGAGGGCGGGAGAAAGATGGGGTGGTATGGAGAGAGGTAGTATTGTAAGGATGGAGAGTAGTAACAAGGGGTGGAGGTAGACAATGGAGAAGACTGTACAGTAGAAGAAAATTAGTTGTGGCGAGGGCTGAGGTCCAAGGTCGAGGTGATCCCCTATTTTGGGCCCCAGTATCCGTCTTCTAAGCCCCCCTCCCATCGTGACAACAATGAACAGGAGATTACGGGGAAGTAGTTAGGCTAATTTATCAGTAAATTCCTGTCATCTCGTTTATCGAAGAATATCTTTAGGTATATATGTGTGTGTGTGTGTGTGTGTGTGTGTGTGTGTGTGTGTGT